TCCAATAATTTTCTGAATTAAACTAACAAGTAGTTAATTTTATGAATTATTCTTTTCTCCCCTTATGTAAGCACTAGAATTATTCCTTCAGCCTGAAGGAACTGCTAGCCTCTGGGCTGTCCCTTCTCTCAATGGTCATGGATGTGAGATACTCTAAGGACACAAAGCTGGTTTCCAGCAGTTAGGGAAATGCAGCTCAGCTGCTGCGCAACACCCACTGGGCTCAGGGCCAAGCCTGAGGGCCTTCTGGAGAACTGGATGGATCATGTCCTGGAGGGGCTGTAAGTCTGAACCCTGCTAATTCCTACAGAGGATTGGGAGGGGCCTTCAGGCACTTGCTTCCTCCTAGGAAGCTGACAGCCAGAGGTTGTGCATTTTCATACCTAGAAACTGTGCACATGACCCAACTTACACGTACAGCAGGTCATCTTAGAGAGTGAGGCAGGAACTGCTAGCTGCGCCTCCATTCCCCTCTCTCCCACACTTAGTGGAAGTGTGGGAGGGCACACTTAGTGGAAGGCCACATTTCCAGCTTATCCTACACAGATGTTTCATAGATTATAAACAGAAGTCACAGGACTTCTAGGAAAGATCTTCAAAGGCCACGACGTACACCCCTGTTCCTTCCTCCATCCTGGCTTCTAGAACGAGTATGTGAGAGCTTGCATTGCAGTAGTCAGCTTGTGACCATGAGGCAAATGCTAAAGCCAGAAAGGCAAAAAGACAGAAGATTCTTTGATGACCTTGGAGCTGCTCTTCCAACTCTCCACTCATCCCCCACTGCCTGCTCTTCTGATGTGAGAAAAAATAAAAACCCCTTTATTTTGTTTAAACTAGCATCATGTGGAGTCTGTTTCTAGCAGCTGGACGCCTTTTCTAACCAATATGGACAGTTGCAAACTTACTCCTTTCCATGGCCCCAGCCCAGTGATCCCAATAAGCCTCTTTTTAGTGTTTGCTTTCATGCCTACAGCTATTCTATGTGTCCTGACATGGGATCTTCTGAGCAGGTTTGGTGTCACTCGCCTGTGGGTGAACAAGGAGCAAACATACAAGTAAGGCTAATTTTCTTGCTATTTCTCACCCGATGTCAGTGTCCAAAGCTCTATGTCACCTGCAGGGCTGCCATGGATGCCCCAAAGCTGACAGCATGCTGGGTGTCTCCTCTATCTCCATGACAAGGCCTGGCCTACAGGTTTCAGCACACAGTAGGTGCTCATGACAGTTCTTGAATATCTGTGTCTGGTTTTACTATTAGCACAGGGAATGACCCCAAATCTGTCTGTAAGACCACTAATATAGAAACTTCCAAACACAACAGAAGATACTAGTTGTTGGCACAGTAGAAAAATAGACAGCAGCATTACCACTGGCGTCTTTGTACATCTCAAGTTCTCCAAGCATGTTCCTGTTACTTTCCTCTTCACAGTCACCCTTATACCTGGGCAGGTACACACACAATTTCACAGATGGAAATGTGGAGGCCCAGGACAGTGAAGTGTACACCTGGAAGGTACATGGTGGTGGCATTCAGGAGTCAGGCCTATAGAGAGATGTGGGGTACTCATATGTGCTCTTATCTCATCACCCTAGTCTGTACCAAGCCTCTCTCAGGCATTTGTGGTCCTTTCTGCTGGCAGTTTTCTTGATGTATCATATAATCCTAACACTTGTCCTGCTAAGTCCTCCCTGGCATTGCCTAATTCTCCTGGTCTCTCCACTCTTCACTCAAGTGGTTTCACATCTGTTTCTGTCCTGTCATGGATGGCAATGTGGGAATCAAGGACAGGATTCACGGGATGCCTCCTTTTGCTCTCCTGTGGTGTGGTAACTGGGAGACAGTAGAAAGCAGGAGGAATGGTACAGTATGGCTGTACCCTGAAGCCGCTAGGGATGGGTCCAGCTGGGCTCCTATTACAATTTAGATTTAAAATGTCCCCCACAAATCTCACATTCAGAGGTGGGGGCCTGGCTAGAAGGCAAATATCACTCTAGTCATGGATTGGAGGGTATCTCTCGCCCCACCTCCCCGCCTCTGCTCTCTGGCCACAATGTTATGAACAGCTGTCCTCCACCACGCTGTGTTTTCTTTGGATCCAGTAAACCATGGACCAAACCCGCTGAAAGTGTAAGCCAAAATAAAACTCTCTTACTTTAAATTGTAGGTATCAGATATGTGTTCTAGTGATAGAAAAACTGACTAATATAGCTCCCCTAGCCATGGGTCCCTCCTGAATCCAGTGAAGAGCCTTGGTGTCAGTGCTACAGCCAAATCCAAAACATTTTGTCTCCATGCTATAATGAGTAAGTTTTATCATCCCTAATTTGTCCTGGGGATCAATGCTTCCTTTGAACCAGCTGGCTTGGATGGGCAGGTACTTTGTGTGGATATCTCAGAAGCTGTAACACCCTAAGAAACTCTCTTCTGTGGCTCAAGAACAGTATGAAATGACTGACTAAAACTTGGGGACATTCTTAGGGCACTTACAATCCTGCAGAGCACAATGAAGTCAGAAATATGCAGAGGAAAAGGCCTGAGTTCCTGGAAAAAAGATAGGCTCAGCTGTATTCCTTGAGCCCACCCAAGGAAGTCTTCACACAATGCTGAGGGAGAGGCAAAGAAGGCCACCATGTGTACAGGGAAGCCACATACTCATGGAGAAGTCCGAGAAAACATCAGAACAGAAATGCTCCACGGTGAGTGAAGGCACAAAATAAGCCAGGCCCATTAGCATGTCCTTAAAACCTGTGGGGCTCTGGGCTCCATGTGTCAACACTGAGGTGAAGAAAAGACTTCCAGACTCCAGAAGGGATGCAGATGGGAAACTGCACATGCAGTCTTGGCCACCAACATTAGCTGTGAATAGTTAGAAAAAAGCAGAGGAAGAACTGGAGTTGGATAAAAATGGAACAGAAATTTGGTCTCTACCATGAGGAGAGCAGAGTCTTTCAGGGAGCCAAAGATGCTCATGACTTTACCACTCTGAGGACCTTTGTCCTGACCCTGCAGACCATTCCCAATCATGCCATAAGACAGTCCTACTGATGCTGGAGCTGCTGTCACTCAGAGGACAGTGTCCTTCACTCCAAGAACTGGATGTTAGAGCTGGTTCTGTTATGTGATGGCCCATGTGATTCACACCAAGCTGAAGTTAACCAACATACAGCTGTTTATGTACTAGTGACTGGAGATACAACATGCCCTGTCCTGTCCTATAAACTGCAGACAACCGGAAGGGTCTGGGCGTCCAACCTGATTTTATAGCCAGTCCTCCTGGCCAGGAAGCACCGGATGAGGCTGTGAAGTTCAGCAGCATTCCTTCAGATAACTGCAGGGGCCACAGTTGAGGGGACACATGGGAACTGTTTTGAAAGGACAACATCACCCAAAGGCATTGCCCTGTGTTCAGTGACAGCCATCAGGGCAGGGTGGGTGGGAGCTCTGACCACTGCGCAGTCAGGTTACTGCTCCAACATCTTTGGAGTTGCGGCCTCCGTTCAGCTTCCATCGCACTTCACTCCAGGGACAGATCCATCTTCGGATACAGCATTCTGATCATATCGCTCATAGCTCTTACTCACTTCATGCCTCCCCCCCAGTGCCAGCTGCATAAACCCAAAGTCTGCAGCTTTAAAGCCCCTCTCAATCAGGCCGAGATCTGCTTTCTTTCCTGTGTTCTATACAAAACTCAAATCCACCACTAATAAAACAAGGCAGTCACAGTTAATAGTAATAGGGGATTATGAATAGCAGCATTAGTCATTTTAATGGTTTCCAAGTTTATTGTTATTTTATTAAATAGACTAATTAAAGCAAACATTCATTGCCCAGGTTTTCAGTTATTTTCTTCTTCAAACAAGTAATCCAGAATTACCTGCAGATGGACAGGTCCTTCCTAGCTGCCCTGCATTTTAATATTTCTGCTAGGCACTGTGCCGGTGGAACTGACTGCACTTAATTTATAAAGGAGGATTTATGGACTTGGGGATGACAACAGACAGCCAATCAATAAGAGACGATAATAACAGCATGTAATATCAAGGAACATTAGGTCTCAGGCATGATTTGGGGAGAGAAGTGGGCAGTTAGAAACCTTATCATTTGAAGAAGGTCAAGGCCTAGCAGCCATAAAAATGCCTAAGCAAATAAAATCACACCTGTGAATAGGAGAAAGTGTAAATCGCTGAATGGAGAAAGGATTTCAGATTTGTGGAAAAATTACTTCCCTGGGCAAGGATGTGGGCTGCTGTAGGACAAATGCAGTATGTCAAGAGAGGGTCTATTTATTACTGCTCAAAACTATAATGATGAAGTGCAGGTGTCCCAGCCTGCCAACTCTTCCTGGGGCTGAGACCCAAATCCTCCACAAAGTGGGGGAAGGGGAGTTTAGATGCTGTAGAAAGGAACAACAGGGCTGAGTCCTAGCACATATATTTAAGACCTAGTGGCTTTATGACATTCTGTCTGGTCATTTTTTTGTTCAGGGGTAGGAAAGCTTTTCATTGATCTAGTAAATCGCTGCTTGTGTGACTGAAAAAGAAAAACACACCAAAAAACAAAAAAGAAAAAAAGCCATAGAGTTGCCAATTCCATTACTAATATTCATATTCCATCACTAAAAACAAAATCGTAATCATTCTCTTTGAAAGACGTTCATAGCATCACACAGAATTCCACAGCCAGCTTTCTGCAAAACGGACACTTATTTCCATTTAGAAAAGTTCACTTCCACAACTCTTTCAAGAATAGGTATGCTAGTAAAGGGTGTGTGCAGAGACTTCCTGCTTTTGCTACCCAGAAAAATGCGGCTGGGACATTATTTTCTTCCTCTCTACCACATCACTTCAGTTTAGGAATAAGTGAAGAGACAGTAGTCTTCCAAACATTTCCCAGGAGACTGCATACTCTAATTTTATTCTCACATACTCTAATCAAACTTCATAAACCCTGCTCCCTGCTCTAGACTCCAGAGCCTGGTGGTTCTGGAAAGTGAGCTTACCTCCTTGTAGGGTGTACTCGGCCACGGCCCTGCTGAAGACTCCCAGGCCAGCCCCATTGTACGCAGCCACCTGGATTTCATACTGTGTCCAGATGATCAGGTCTGTCACCAGGCAGTAGTTCACTTCTGGGCTGGTGATGTTCCTCTGCTGATGCTCACTAGGCAGGCCAGCTAGGCGGTACCTGCACCAGAAAGAAGCTCATGACAGCAAAGAAATAGCTCAAGTTCATGGTGGCCATTCTGCACAGTTAGAGGAAAATGGAAGTTAACAGACATATGCAGAACTGAGAGGTCAGCCCTAGACAACACTACTCATTAATTTAACTATTTTAAAAGGTACACTCTACTCTCATAGTGATTCTAAGCTCTGGGCATAATGGAACTGATCTTTCAATGTATTATGGTTATGGAAAAATGATAGCTTTTTAAATGTAACTTGTTTTCATCATACAGTGACTGGCTACCCCAAATTCTAAACATGTTTTCCATCAGGGCTTGAGACATACCATCCTCTTGTGACTGCAATGTGGGGAAGAATCAAGAAGCAGAAAGCATGTGGCTTCTTGACTTGTGGTTCTGTTTCCATTTAGGAGTCTGGTCCCTCCCAGTGTATCCCAGAACTATAATAAGTCGCTTTGAGAAGGTGTTAACATTCTTACATGCCAATTCCTTGCTAATATGACACATTGTTTTTTAGGTGCTTTTGTGAGTGCCTGGGTAGCACAATCTTTCGCTTGCTAAAATCAGAAAATTTAAAGTTGTGTTTATTAAAAAGGTGACTTATGCAACTCCACATTCAGAAAATACATAAATTAGGAAATTGCTTTTGATATTATGAAAGGCCTTTGAGAACATTACTTTGATTAGCAAATATTCTTCCATGATTCAGTTTATAGAAGTTAATGTACTGAAATGACTCAGTTAATTTGCTGAGCTTTTCTGGGTCAGTCCCCAGGGTAAGACAAAAGATATGCACCATGGAGATGATTTCTTAGTCATCCTTCAGCTATTAAAAACATCTAATTTTCATCCCAAAAGTGGTTCATAAACTGCTCAAAGAATGTGGCTTTGATTGATAAAAGGAAAGGAGAAATGATTGATGAGGGATCCAAAACCAGAGTAGCAGCAATAAATCCATTCTCTTTCCATGACTCGCTGGAATTCCCAGCTTCCTCCATGGTGGTGACTGTTCCCCAGGGCAGGGCGTTACTGCATGAAGGGACATAGCTGAGAAAGGTGAGTGTGGGCAGATACGTCTGTAAGGCCACCACTATTGGAAAAAAAAAGAAATCAGAGAACTCAGACATTCAGTTCCTTCTATGTAAAACAATCTCCTAAAGAGAATGACAGGTGAACATATAATAAGGAAGCAGAGAGGGCAATAAAAGTTTCTGCACACAATCAGGATTTTCTGGCAGCATTCTTTCATCCGCTCTTGTTAAGGATGGTTTGTGCTTGGTGAGGCTGGTTTGAGGGCAACAAAGATGTTCAAGAGCATAGAGCACTTGCGTGCAAGAAGGTCCAAGAATTCCCTCCACTTCTTGCCTGAAAGAAGGAAGTGGCTGCCACTCTGGCCTGGCACGGACTAACCCATATGACAGGTATTCTCACTTGAATTCCCCTGTGAACTTTAAACATAATGGCACTGAGGATAATTAGCCATTTAGGAAAAGGTAGAAATTTGGCTCCACATCCACACCAGAGTAGCGCAGGTATGTGGATACCAAGACACACTTATAGCAGTGGTGGTGAACCTATGGCATGCAGGCTGAAGTATGCTGTTTGTATCATTGAAAGCTTGAAAAGGTTCGCCATGACTGGCGTACAGCCAACGTGATACTCCTAGGAAGGGCTTACTCCTGTAGACCTATCACTAGACAATGTGCGTTCCAGGAAAAAGCCGAGGAATTAGCAAGGGAAGGTTGAGGTTGAGTCCCTGTACAGTCACTATGAGCTGGATGACTCTAAGCTTTGTTTCCACCACTCCAAAAGGGGAATCAGAGTAACAGCATTTCACCCAGCTATTGCAAGAATGAATGAACAATGGATGTAAAAGAGGTATGGAAGTGTAGAGTACACCTCATACTGCTCTTCTAAAGCATGGGAGAAAATGTTATAAGACAGGAAACCTGTGGCGCATACCCATAATCCCACCACTCTGGCAGGATGAAGCAGGAGAATCACAAATCTGAGCCCAGCCTGGGCAACTTAACTTGTCAGGAACCTGTCTCAAAAAAAAAAAAAAAGAAAGAAAGAAAAGCAAAGGGATATAGCTTAGGACAAAGGCCCTGGGTTCTGTCTACAAAGGAGGAAGGAAGGAAGGAAGAAAGGAAGACTTGAGGAGAAGGAGGAGGCCTGCATAAGCCAACTATGTTTTCCTACGCCACTTGAAGACAGTGAAAATGAACTGCAGAACTTAATTCTACAAAGTCATACGTGCTCCCCGCCAGGACGGGCAGATTGGCCCACTCTAACCAGTGGCTCGGGATGCTTTTGTGACTGTCACATGATGCCTAAGAAGGTCATGGTTAATAAGGGGAGTGAGGGCATCCTCCTCTCACTGGTAGGCTATGTTGCTCAGGAGACCGGCTCAGCCAGAACAAGATGATTTTTTATACAGAAATAAACAGGAGAATGTTTTTAAAGGACATAACCCTCTGCTCCTTTCAGAGAAACACCCTGACCATTATTATAAATATTTTATTACTGCCCACACATCCTAACAACTTCTTATGGCCACAGCCATGGAGGTGGTTTATTTCCATTTGCTCTTTGTGTACTGGGCCTCGGTTCTGACAGAGAGACTGTGCCCTGGAGGATGCATGCTTGCAAACAGAGTGCTGATTTGCAGACCAGAGGATTATTTGGAAATGTTTCCAAGCAAATTCATTTTGGCATGGGTCTTTAATTTCTGAAAACTTTGATATTCACAGGCCTTGAGTACTGCACCCGTTTTAGGGCTTTCTTGATTTAAGCCCCAGGAAATACAGCTGCCCTCTTCTCTAGCACTCAACTCTACTGATGCCATCATGGAAGATCCTTTTCACAGTAGTAATCCCACAAAACAGAGAAATGTGCAGTCCCTGATGTGGCCACATAGCATCAGAGAGATGTTATTATTAACTCTGTGCCCCGGGCATGGTTCTGTGGGATGACTTTTAAAGCCCTTTCTTGACAGTTGTAGCCCAAGGAAACTTTCACGAGCTGGAAGACACAGGGGATATAGGAGGCCCTACAAGGGAAGGGTCATCAGGGAGGGCTGGCCAATTACTGTCATTAGTGGATGGGCATGAATAAGGGGTGATGGCTAGAGCAGGAGTGCAAAGCAGGGAAGGACAGGAGCCTTGGCCACACAGCAGCAGAAAGGCTGAGAAGGGTGGTCAGGGGACACAGGTCTGTCTAGAAACATCACCAGGAGCAGAGCCCATTGCCCTGCCTACAGGGATGACCCTCGGTTTCTCTGAGCTGCTTTAAATGAAGACAGCTGGGGGTACAGACACCAGGGGCCACATAAGGCAACAACAGCTTTTCCCGCAACCGCAGGACAGTCCACTTCTGCTGCCTCAACAGACAGTGGTCTGGAGTGTCTCCACAGACTTGAGGGGCACATGAAAGTATCAGCAAGTGGGGCCACATAAGGCAACAACAGCTTTTCCTGCAACCGCAGGACGGTCCACTTCTGCTGCCTCAACAGACAGTTGTCTGGAGTGTTTCCACAGACTTGAGGGACACATGAAAGTATCAGCAAGTCAATGGTGACACACAAATACTACACACACAGAGATGAACACCATTCACTGAGGTATGGATGATTGTATACATGTATATTGGGAACTTGGGGGTTATCAGCAAGTCAATGGTGACACACAAATACTACACACACAGAGATGAACACCATTCACTGAGGCATGGATGATTGTACACATGTATATTGGGAACTTCGGGGGCGGTCCTTCAAATACAAAGATAGTGGAGTGAAAGAAGCAACGCTTTCACAATCTCTTACCTTTACCTAAGAAACCAAATGTTCCTACTTAAGTCCACTGCTAATCAAGTACAGTATTTACTGATCACAAGCTCAGTGTGAGGCCAGGGCATGCATTTGGAGGAAGATAATAGTAGAGACCAATGGTTCTTGGCCTAATAAAGCTGATAAAATTAACAAATACATCCACAGCAGTGTAATAATTAGAGGAGACTTAATAATTATTCTTTAATACCATGTCAGTTTTTTATTTTTACTGTATTAACAAATCACTGCAATTACCACATTCATGTGATTATTATATTAGCAGGAGTTTTGGCAAAGGAGATTTCTTCTGTTTAACATGGCCAAGTTCTTATATGGTTCTCTCAATATTTTTAGAAGCCTACCTATCCCTTCTGAAGCAGAGACTTCAGTCACATCTGGTCAGCAGATATGAGCATCTGGCCTGTGCTATATCTCAAAATATATCAGTTTCATTTCTAACACCTAAATGAAGTGAGACTGTAAGAAAATGGCTACATGTTTTGATTTTCTTGAAATGCAAGATCTGAAAAAATGAGCAGCATGCTAGCATGGTAACAATTGGCTCAAAAGTAATTAGTACTATAAGTGATTAAATGCATGCATCTGGTCAACAAGGAATAAAAGGGTTTACATTGAATAGCATGCCTGCTTCCTTACCCATAATATCCCTTTGCCAAAATACAACCACTGGTCCCATGTGAGGACTTCCTGGGTGAACATGCAAAGTGCCACATTCACTCATCTAGTTTGCCACAGTCCCTCCACCCTACAGAGTTTGGCACCTGACCTGAGTCCTCACATCACCGACTGGCTTGGACAGACACTTAATGAGGTGGATACTGACTCTTCCTAGGGACCATCTAAAATGCCAGTACAGGCTACTTGCCTGAGAATGTACCCATGCAGCACCCCATTGTGCTCTGTTTCTGGGGGAGGCTGCCACTGCACCATAATGGACTGGTTGGTACGCCCACTGGCCACGATGTTTTTTGGGGGAGCACTAGGTGGTTCTTCGGGTAACATCAACCTACAAATAAAGAAAGAGGAGAGAAAGAGATAAGCACTAGACACCATGCACTGTGACAGTGTTCTCCATCATGCTGCACTCAGATCCTATTTGCAAAAATAGGTGACAAGAATGTGCGGCTGACCTCACTGAACGATTGAAGTTAGTTACACTTGTCCAGAGGAGCAAACCAGTAAGATGGGGCTGTGGATGATGACAGAGGTGCCTGTCTGTCTGAAGAGCCCCAGGTTCTCAGCACCAGCAGAGGTGACCAGTTGGGTGAGCTTGTGTCTGGGAGCTGAGGCTCCTTCTAGGTTGTTTTCTTTGACTCTTTCATTATTTTTCATCTTAAACTCCCACATTTTGAAAAAAGTTATTTAAATTTCAACTACTATACAAATCAGGCCACCCAGAGCTCAGACTACTAGAGAGGACTCCCTAAAACTAATGCCCCCCCAGCGCAGCTCTCTGGGTCTGTACAATCTCCTAATCTCCTGAATACAGAAGGCTGTGGCACCTGGAGTAGTCTGGGTAGGCACAGCCAGAGCACCTCGGGAGAAACCTGACACTCGCCTCCAGGCAGCTAAGGGAAACCCAGCTTGTTTTCCTTACCTGCACTAATGGCTGTTTGCCCTCTCTGGGACAGTCTTTTCTACTGGAGCTTTTTGCCAGTGTCCCTAAGAGATTATCAATGAACTACCTCTGTCCAATGTAGCCCATGTGTTTAACTGAGAGGTCTGGGATTCACTCACCTGCTCGTCTCTGCACTGTATTGACCCTTGCCCACTTGATTCACTGCGCATACTCGAAACTGATAGGTGCGGGCTGGAGTCAGGCCACTCACGGTAATGTCTGTCACCTCAGGGTCAATATCTGACAAGTGCACCTTCCAGGGAGAGTCTAAAGGAATAAGCAAAACAGGTTCAAACCCACATAACCATGTGTCTGAATGATAAATGAATATAAATGCCCTCCCGTAGACTCTCCTCGGCTTTGCAAGACAGTGCTAGGAGAGAGAATGGTTATCCCCATTGGATAGATGTGAGGACTGAGGCTCAAGTCATGTGCCCAGTAACTTATGAACCCTGGGTTTTCACCCCAAATCTAGCACACCTATAATATCCCTATGGGGATATTGCTAAAGGGATTTTGGATTCAACCCGCATATGGTGTTGTAAAAATTATGAAGACATTCCTAAATCCTGGGTGCAGTATGCAATGGGAAAAAGTTCTGTCAGCTCACATGGTTAGGCAGATTGCAGATTTGTCTCCCAGAAAAGGATGCTGCACATGTCACTGAATGATAAATAAAAACTATATTCATTAACATTTTAATAAAAGAGGAAATGAACATGATAAAGACAGATGGGCTGTGTGTTCTGCAGCCCATCTGCAGTGTGGCAGCCCGTTACCACTACGCCCCTGAGTGGCTCTGGCTGGAGAGGCGGGATGGGATTTACAGCGAGTCTGGAATATCTTTTCCCACTTTCTGGCAGGTGTGGAGGAGCGACTCTGTCAGCCAAATGGGCTGTTGCTACAAGGCAGGCTTCTGGAGATTCTGTGGGACCTGATGCCTTTGCAGAGTTTAAACAGCCTTCGAGGTCCAGCCGTTTTTCAGAGCGATGTCCTGGATCACACGCAATCTGGCATGACTTTGAGCATCCGCTGTTGGCTTCTACTCTGCATGTAGTGATGCTGGACTACATTTCCAAGGGCAAAGTAAAGTGAGATGCAGGGTGGGAGACTCAGATAGAAATCCACTTATCTTGCTCTCTCCTCTGAAGTGGTATTGTGGTTCCTTTCACCCATGTTGGACATGGTCCAAGAAAGCTGATGCATGACTTCTTGCTGAGATGCTGGGCTCTGTTCAAACTGCAGACAATGCCAGTGGCATGTCACCCCTACCCATGGAATCACAGCCACCTTTTAGACTCCCGAAGACCAGTCCGTGGGATTTACATGGTAGGGTGGCCTATGGTGTGGCAGTGTGTGCCTAGAGCCCATTAAAATACACCTAGCACTCAGCTCCCCATAGTCAAAGCAACTTCTGTTGACTTTCACACAAAGATGTCTATCATTAATCCAGAATTTGTTAACTTGAGTGATTCTTTAACACAAGTTAAACTGTGCTGAAGCATGATGCCAGTTGGACTATAAAGACTGAATCTTTTTAATTATTTCAAATAAAGCAGCTTCCAAAATTGGCTTTCTGGGAATGCAGTCTTCACCACCAGCTGGGCAATTTTGTGTTCTTGGCTCTAGCTTTCCAGTGACATGGGTAATCACAGTTGATGAGGACCCCCTTTCTTTATGTTTCCTTTAAAAACACATTGTGCTCACCTCCAGTGAGCTATGGAAAGACCCACCCACTTCTCTTCATGCTGGAGTCTGAGATCTTCCTCTCTACATTGAGCAGCTCATGGTAACCTGGTTTTTCAGGAGAGCTCCCTTACAGGTGAGGGCTGCTTGTCACCACAGAGGGCAAGAGAGCCTTCCTTAACACCATGTGGCTGATGGAGCAGGGCCTCCCTGGCCAACGTGCTTTTCTATGGAAATAGTCTTCCTTTCCATTTTTGTTTTTGTTTTGTTTTGTTTTTTTGAGACAGGGTCTCACTATGTAGTTGAGACTGACCTGGAACTCACTATGTAGCCCAGGATGGTCTCGAACTCACAGCGATCCTCCTGCCTCAGGTTCCCAAGTGCTGGGATTACAGGCGTTTTCTTTTTTTCTTTTTTTGGTAGCCTTCCTTTCAAAGACAACTGGTGCATGGCAAGAAAAACACAGAGACTACATGTTGGTAATGATGCAAATGGCTATGAGCTTTTCCACTTGCAGTTTGACTTTGAATTTTTGTAAAAGTTTGGGACAAGTCAGAACCACAATGACATACTGTATCAAATCATTAGGAAGATTATTATCAAACAAATTAGAAAATAACAGGTGCCAGTGAGGATTTGTATACCATTGATGGGAATGTAAAATGGTGAAGCTGTTATGGAAAACAGTATGGTGGTTCTTAAAAAAACAGAAATAGAATCACCACATCATTTAGTCATTCTACTTATGAATATATGCCCCCCCAAAATAAAAGCAGGATTTCAAAGAGACATTTGCACACCAAATTCACAGTAGCATCATCCACAGCAGCTAAAAAGAGAAAGCCACTTAGTTATCTGCTGCTGATGGATGAATGGATAAACAAAATGCATACATCCATGCAAGGGAGTATTTTTCAGATTAAAAAAAGAAGGGAATTCTGATGCATGCTACAGCACAAATAAACTTTAAGGACATAATCTAAGTGAGATAAGTCAGTCACAATCACTATGTGATTCTTCTAATTCACAGACAGCAGAAGGGGTTCTGGGGAGGGGGAAATAAGGAGTTACTGTTTCATGGGTTTTCATGGCTTAGATCTAAAATGTCCCCAAAAGGCTCAATGCTCACAAGTGGGGCTTTTGGAAGGCAACTGGATCATAAAGCACTACTAATGAACCCACCGATGACTGAGTACCCACTATCATGATTACCCTGGGGAGAGTGGGGCCTGATGGGAAGAGGCAGATCACTGGGGTGTGACCCAGAAGGGTATATTTTTCTCCCCGGCACCTTCCTTCTCTGGCTGCCATGAGGTGAGTAGCTTTTTGTCCACTGTGCTCCTCTGTTATCCTATTTCTGTGTTGGAGTCAGCCGGGCATGGGCTGAAACGGTGAGCTATAATAAACATCTTCTCATTTAAGTTATAAGTATCAAGCACTGTGTTCCAATGATGGAAAAATGCTATGAAATGGGTGAAGAATTTCACTTTTACTACATGGAAAGAGTACTGAAGATGGATGTTGGTAATGATAACATAATAACATGAATCTCCTTGACAACACTATACTCACAGAAATGGCTGAGGTGGTAAATTTTGTTATGTGTATTTTACCATGAATTAAAACTTAAAATAGGTGAGAAAATGGAGAGAATGCCACAGAACTCCCACAACTGCTTGTGTCAATACTGAGAGGCCTTGCCTGCAGCCAAAAGGACTGCTGGGGTGGGGTAGAGATGTATGTGTTGGCCTCCCCTGGAAGACCAGGAGGAGGGTAGGCTCAAAGCTCTACCCTGCCGCCTGAGAAGATGCCTTGGACTTGCCATGTCTTCCATCCATGTGTCTTGCACTTTTCAAGGTGGCAGCTCTACACAACCTTTCAGAGTTCTGCGACTCCCCTGGTTTCTGTGTCCCAAGGGTCGAGCCAGTTGTGAGGCCATGAGCCACAGGTCACTGTGGTTCCTACACCCATAGCTCTGTAAATGTTCTCTAAAACCTCCCCTTGAACATTCTCATCCAAGAGTGCCACTCTTGTTTACTCTTGTAGTGTTTACTACAGAAGCCGAGACAGATACAGAACTTACCTTTCACCCCTCTTCCTTCAGGATTTGGAAGGATGGACTCACCTGGTCAGTGAGTGAGTCGGTGCAGGAAGGGACAAAGTCAAAAGGACAGTTGTCATGACCAGCTGACTGTAAGGATTTCCAGGCCATGAGTGGGGGCACGGAGACCCTCAGGTTACTACTTAGTATGGTTTGAATATGGTGTCCCCACCAACTTTCCCTTTGAAGCTGGCAGGCGGTGTTGGGATATGGTGCCTTTGAGAAGACCGGGGCTTTTAAGAGAGATTAATGCTTTCCTTGCAGGAGACAGTTCTCATGCTTGCAGGACGGGACTGGTTACCTCAAGAGCAGGTGACTACAAAGGAATTTGGTACCTCCCCTTGGTCTCACTACCTGTACCCACTTTCCCTTCTCCTTTCCTGCCATGTTGTGACATGGCTAAGTCCCTCATCAGATGCCACATCAAGCTACTTGGACTTTCCAACCACTAGAAACAGGAGCCAAGCAAACCTCTTCTTGGTATAGATTATCTAGCCACAGATACTCTGCTATAGCAACACAAAGCCACATTGACACTGCTTTTTCTGTCCTCAGTGCTACCCTCCCACCCTCTGCCCCCTGTGACCCTCAGCCATTTGTTCATTCAGAGTGTAAACAGCTCTTGAAAGCCCATAACCCAAGTTGCAGGGTCTGTTGACCAGTTTGATTTGACAACAGGGCCTATTAATCTCCTCTGTGTTTCAGGCTCTGCTCAGTCCTCTGGTTGCATCTATAGAATTCTTTATTTATTCTTTTTTCTTCCCTACTAGAAGATAAAAGATCCAGCAGGAAGAGAGATTAAACTGAAAACTAATACAAATGAACCTGATCCATCTCATGGGCACTCTGATTTGTACCAAAGAAAAAAAAAGTGCTTTGGGAAGGACTTGCCTGTTCACAAGCTTCAGAATTGCAAGCTTGCTGAGAACTGTTAAAATTTAAATAGAAGTCTGTTCTTGACAATCAATAAGCAGAAGCCTTTTAAAAGACTCTTCTTCCAGCCAGCCCTCACAAAAGAATGTGACACAATTCTTGTCTAGGGGGCTGGGACATAGGAGAATCTTTTGATGAAGGAAACCATCCCATAAAAGTTTCAATATCTCTTTCCTCCCCTTTAGAGCTCCTCTTGTGCTTCTGATCTAGGAGATGAGGACTTTTGGACTTCTCCAGCCAGCCTGCTAAACAAACCTCTATCGCAGAGAGGGGCACTGCTCATCTCACCCCCAGTGCATGGTTCAAAGCCTGAGAGGACTTAATCACTCCTTACTCTCTGCTGTCTGTAAGATCGGTGGTTTCTAACCTTCAGAAATGTATTAGAAGCTTATTCTGATAAAAAAGAACATTACCATTTTCTCAATTAATGGTACGTGAGGAAGGAAAATTTTGATCGAGAATGATTTTGAAGGAAAATTTCTCCTAATTGATAAAAGGATTGTCATTATTAAAACCTGACATCTGCATAGTGGTACAAGTTTGGGAG